TGAGACATCTTGCTGGTTCTGCAGGAAACTTCTTGATGAAGACATCCCAAATTCCACCCAAACTGTTTAGCAAAGGATGCAGGGATGCTCTGCCCACGGTGACTAAGGCCAGGATTACCTGCTTCCTGCCAAAGCCACAGGCTGTGTGGACCCAGGCTGGATCCAGGTGACACCATTATTGGGGCCTTATCAGCACCTGGCAAGATGCTGATGTCCATCCAAAGGCAAGCTCAAGTGAGGATGCAGAGGAGAGCCTAGAAGAGCTGCTGGCTCCAGCCGAGTATCAGGATGTGCACACTTAGGGACTATCCATCTAAAACAATCTGAGGAGACCTGAAAGGCCAGGCCAGGCAGAAGACTGCCAGCTGGGAAAATACAGACAGGAGGAGACAGAGCAAAGGACCCCACACCTTGCAAGGTCATTTCAAGTGCTGTGTTCCTCTCATAGATGGCCCCTGCACCCCAAGACAGAGTCTCTATGTAGTCCTGGCTGTCCTGGAACTCAATCTGTAGACTAGGCTAGCCTCGAACTCAGAAATCCACCTCTGCCTCCCAAGTGCTGGGATTAAAGACATGTACCACCACACCTGACTCATAAATGCACTTTTGAAAATTAATGTGTGCACTTTACACAGGGGAGTCTCTAAAAGGTAAAACCAGCTCAACCCCAACATGGGGCTAAAGAACTGATTTCTGATGCAGCATAAGCCATAAGGGAAGCTGGGAAGCTGGGGGCCTGTGAGGCCTCTTGGCCCTGGCAGCCACCTTGTTGGCTTGGGAGGCTAGAAGCCTCAGTTTTGCTGATCTCACAACCCATTTCCTTGACCTGCAGTGAAGTCTGGCTCCAAGATTTTAGGAAGTTGCCTCCCAGGAGCAAGCCTGTGCCTCTTGCCTAAGTCTCCTCCCCACCCCTCTCTTTCAGTGTCCCATAACTCCTGGGTTGCTGTTCTGTATCTCCCACTAGAGGACCCAGAGCTTCCATGCCTTGACCGGCTGGGCTCCTTATGCACGGCTCTTAGCTTTCACAATTGCCCCAGCTGCCTGCTCCCCCTTAAAGCCTGGCTCTGACATCAGATTCGGTTAAGGAGACTTCTCAGGGATGACACTGGGTTTCACACAGGGGCAAACAGAGTGGGCTCACAGTGAATGTGTGTGTTGACAGGAGGAACTATCACTGCTATTGGAAGGGCTGAGAAATGGCTCTCTTGGGCCCTGGGAAGGTCTAGCTTTAGAAAGCAGTTAGGAGACTGGAGGAAGGCTTTGTGGTGCTCTGGCCCCAGCAAGCCTTGGGTCGTAGCAGTGGGAACAGAGGGACAGCTCCTAACATGACAAAAGTACAAAGCCCGGCCTGGCACTGCTTGATGAGCCCCACGGGTAGACATATTTCATATTCTCAGAGACCTGGAGAGTAGGTGACAGAATAGCATTCCAGATCTACAGGAGGCTTGGGTTTTCTTAAGATCACCGCAGGAGGCTGTAGTGGAGCCAGACCCTAAGGGGGGTGGTGCTTAGTTTCCTGACTTTAGGACTTTCTTTTATAGAAGGGCTGCTTGAGGCAGAGTGTCACCCTGAAGAGAGTTGGGAATTTTTATCTGTCCCTCAGACTGGCGGTAAACAGACTACAAACGTCCACAGAGGCTGTCTTGCCCCACAGAGCTGCACACGCACACACCCAGACAGACTGTTGACCAAGGTAGGTTCTGTTTGTTTATATTTCTGTAGATCAGGCTGGCCTTACACTGTTGATCCTCTTGCCCCAGGATTCCAAGTGCCAGGACTGCCAGTGTGAACTGACTCCAGCTTTAAGAACCAGGGCCCTAGCTGGGTGGTGGTGTTGCACATCTTTGATCCCAGGACTTAGAAGGCATAGGTAGGCGGATTTCTGAGTGTTCAAAGCCAGCCTGATCTATAGTGCAAGTTCCAGGCAGCCAAGATTACACAGAGAACCTTGTCTACAAAACAAACACCAAACAAACAAAACAAAACAAGAAAAGAAAGAAAAAACCCCAGGGCCCTTTGTAATGGGTACTGGAGGACCTATGACTCATTCAGAAATCATCCCTGTCCACTCTCCAGTGCAAAAGCATGGCTCTCTTGGAAGGATGTTCTGCAGGATAGAAGTGTAAGTGACCAAGAGGTATCAGCTTCCTCTAGGGGGCCTTGAGGGAGTAGATTTCCCTGAAGAGGAGGAAAAGGGCAGTAAGTCTGCTCACACAGCACAAGAGACGATTCACACAGACACCACTGAAGTGGGAGTTAGTGCTGAGGTGGCTAGAGCACAGAAAGCTTTGGGACTAAGCACACAGTGAGGAGTGGGGTAGCACCCAAGGCCAGCACTCACAGACTAAACAGGGAGCCCTGCTCAAGCAGCCACTTGAAAAGCAGCTACCTGGGCTCAGCCTCAGGACAGGGCTGGTTCAGTTAGGACCAGGCCTCCAGAGAGCATGGTCCGAGGAACTCAGATGTGTACCATGTACAAAAAGGGGCTGAGCCTCATAGCTTTTAAGAAATCCAAGCTTCCTCAAGGCACAGTGGATCCAAGGGCAACTCTTTTCACTTCGTGTACCAAAGAACACACAGAGGAGAAGGCCACTATGGAGATACGAAGAGACCAGTGTCAGGGAGGACATCCTGACACCCAGCTGCAGGCTACTTCTACTCTATGATACGAGTTTCTTACAAAGCTACTATCATACTCCTGACTGCTAACACAAAACAACCTTCCACGTGCTCCCCTAAGTCAGCAGCAGGAAGTGGTTTTGGTGCTATACTCCTGTATTTTTAGCTATCTTCTCAGACTTAATTTCCAATTTTATCCTGTAAAGTCCTAATGACTCCACCTCCCCTGACCTCTCACTTGAAGAGGCTGTGAAGAACACGAGGCAGTTTCTGTTGGGCTTGAAGTGGGTTTTTCATCTTAAAACCTTGGCAACTGTTCATGTCTCTTCAGAGAAGGCTTTCTTTCTTTTCAGGGTTAACAGGCTTCCCAGAATGTCTGTCCACTGTCCTCTGGAGTCCCACAACCATGACACCCAGCCACTCAGCCTCTCCCACGCGTACTTCCATCTGTGGGCCTAAGGCTAACAGTATACCAATGATGTGACAAGATGAAGTGGCTTTTCTCCCTTGGCCCTGGGAAGGGACAGCAGGCTGCTTCAGCGCCATTTCTGTCATCTGTCCTCTGCAGTCCTCCTCTAGGACTGAATGGGGAACAGCTCTCGCCTCTCCCTGCTTTTACCACCCTTCCTAGCAGGCTGGCCCACAGCCGTCTAACTACAAGCCAGCATGGGATGTGGGGATCTGTAGGGTCCCTGCCAGGCACTCAAAGCCAAGGCAGCAGGAGGACAGGGGATCTTTCAACACTGCCTTGCCCACTGCGCACCTTGTGCCACATGTCAGCTATCCTGGACTGGTTCCACCAGACCACAGGCAGGTTGCTCTTCTGTCAGGGCCTCCCTCAGATGTGATGCTCTGCTGAACAACCACAGTGCAGCTGCCACCTCCTCTGGCATACTTTGCTCTTATTGAAGGTACTATGCTGTAGGTTGCAAGCTGCCACTGTAAGCTAAGCTCCAAAGAGTAGAACCCACATTTACCTCACTGAAAAGGACCACAGGCCATAGTACACACTTACTCAGCAGATACCTAGAATCTGGCACGAGCCAAACACTCTGCAGAGATTCAAATCTGCTAACCCTTACGAAAATAGCAAAGGTCAATGCCCAGCCCACCTGTGCATTACAGCCAGACACTGGAGTTTAAAGCACTAAAGGGGCCAATCCAAGGGCACCTGGGAAAAGCACCAATGGAGTTGAGTTCAAAGCCCGGCTTGCAGGTGAGAACAGCCTGAATGGACGATTTCTGTCAAACACGGTTGTGACCCAGTCATACCAGGGTGGGCAAACTCTGGCAAAGACCTGTGTGCTGACTTTGGAGTTTAGTGGCTGGGGCTTCCATAGGCCCATCAGTCAGAATCCCAGGGAAGACACCAATAGTTCATTAATGTCACTTGGAAAACAGGTCCATTCTCCCCGCCACTCCCCTTTACACTCACAGAAACTCACTCTTCCTTCCTTCCTTCCTTCCTTCCTTCCTTCCTTCCTTCCTTCCTTCCCTTAACTAACTAACTTCCTTCCTTCCTTCCTTCCTTCCTTCCTTCCTTTCCTTCTTTCTTTCTTTTAAAAGACAGAGTCTCACACTATGTAACCCTAGCCAGCCTGGAACTTATTAAGACCAGCCTTAAGACTTACTATAGACCAGGCTGGCCTCAAACTCACAGATACTCACTTGCCTCTGCTTCCCCAGTGCTAAAATCAAAGGTGTAAGCCACTGTGCTGGCTAGTTTTATGTCAACTTGACACAGGCTATAGTAATCTGGGAAGAGGGAGCCTTAATTAAGAAAAGGCTTTCATAAGATCAGGTTTCAGACAAGCCTCTAGGGTATTTTCTTCGTGATTGGTGAGAAAGGGTCCAGTCCATTGTGGGTGGAGCCACTCCTGGGTTCTATAAGAAAGCAGGTTGAGCAAGCCAGGAAGCAGCACCCTCCATGGCCTCTGCATGAGCTCCTGCTTCCAGGTTCCTGCCCTGTTTTAAGTTCCTGATTTCCTCTAATGACAGACTACAATGTGCAAGTGTAAGCCAAATAAATCCTTTTCCTCCAACTTGTTTTGGTTTTTGGCCATGGTGTTTCATCACAGCAACAGAATTCATAATAAGACCAGCACCATGCCTTTGATCCAGTGAAAGACATGGTCCATGAGGAACACAAAGGCACTCTGAGCTTGCCTTGAAAAAACCAGCAGTTGCTGGGGATGGTGACAGACATATACCTGTGACAGCTGTGCTCAGGCTGGAGTAAGGGGTTCTCCAGTTCAAGGTCAGCCTAGGCCACTCAAGGTGACCCTGGCTCATTAGAACAAAACTCAATACCAGCCAACCAACATCAAGTGGTTCAAACACCAAGCAATGCGGATGACGGGTGCAGTCCCATCAGGCCCTACCTGTGTGAGGACGTCCAGCTGGCCCACGATGTGCTCGAGTGTGCTGGTCAGTGTTTGGGGCATGCTGATGGGCTCTTGGGGTTCGCCTTGAACTGACTCCAGACTCTTTTCTCTGCCTGGTGGGACAGGCAAATCCATTTCTGGCTAAAGACAGAAAGAGACCAGGCCCTCAGTCTATTTAGTAGTTGAGGAAACAAGGAGAGAGGACCATCTCCAGAGGATTATCTGAGAAGCCAGGAGAGCTGAGGAAATGGCTTCTACGTCAGCAGGGAACAGCAGGGAGACAGGACATGCACCCCTTCCACACACCAAAGTCCACATGCCCATCTTTCACAGCAGAGACTGAGGAGAAGTGGAGTTGAGTGCCCGGCAGTCACTAGATGGGGCCTGGGCACAGGGGCAGGTGGACTCCTAGACCTCCGAGTACTCTCCTATCTCCGAGGTCCTCAGGAAGGCTAGTCAAGCTTGCAACTCTTCACTCTCAGGCACCAACCAGGATGCATCTTGGAGGGGTCAGAGACAGAAAGACTGCAAAGTCCTGAAGTCCCTCTTCTCGCAGACAGCTTGATTTCAATTCTGCCTTCCCAATGACCTAGCAGCTGTGGCCCAGAAATGAGAAGAGATGTTCCAACCCCTGCCCTGCCCCAGATCCCCTGGAAAAACAAAGATCTCTGTGTGACTGTTGTGCCCAGATGGCTGGCAGGAGCCAGAATCCACAGGACAGCCACAGCTGGCTTGTTTCAAACAGGACTCCAGGAATGGGAGGCACTTGGGATTTTATGACTTGAAGGGTGACTAAGTCCCCAAGTCATAAAAGTAGAGCCCCTCTCTGTACTCAAACGAAAGTTCCTCCTGCCCCAGGAAGCAGCTTGCATGTATGGAGCAAGATTCCCTGAGCACGGGTGCCTGGAGGCAACTTAGCAGACGCCACAGTCCCAATCCTGCAGCTCCACTATGCAATACGGATGGCCCATGCTCTGGGTCAGTCCCCAAGCTTTGATGACCCACACATGTCTAGTGGACATTCCAGATGTACCATGTCGCCCCCAGGGCTCTGTCCAATCCAATCCACCTCCTTCCACATCCTCTCTTGCTTGTACCCTGGCACTCACATCGCACCTCCCTTTCCATGGATTCTTTTGCCTACCCTCTCCGTCTGCTAAAGTACCCTGCCCTCCCCCATCAGGAGCTCCTCTGCCCCTGCATACCGGGGCCTCCTCCTTCCCGCCCTGTTCCTCTAGCCACTTCAACTTCAAAACAAGACGAATCGGTGCTGCCTGTTCCTGGGGCTCCTGTGTGGGCTGTACTCATCACTCCTTCCCCCACAAATCCAGGACATCACTAGGCTCAAAGCTTGTGGACCACCCATGTACCACAGAGCTAAGCCTACTGTACCCAGAAGCTGCCCACCTCCCAGAGCCATAGGCAGTGGAGTATACTGGGGACAACTGGGACTCAGCTAGGATACTGTCCAGCCCTGACAGCACTGGGATGCCTGTAGACCCACACTCAGCTGTCGTGGCTGTTTACATCTCCCCTCAGTGTCAGCCCTGCTGTGGCGAATGCTCTGGCCCAGGCGTGCTCACCTGCAATACACCACAGTCCTTGGAAAGCATGGACACAGGAGAGGGTTCAAGTGACAAAGGAATGCACGGTGAGTCAGCATGCGGAATCTACCTGAATATCTCTCTTTATTAGGAAAGAGTCCTGATCTTATAAAACCACAAACTCTCAAGGACATATTGATGTGAACTTGAGAAATGCCAGCTCTGGTGGCCAAAGAACTTTGAGTGTGAGACATGAGCCAAAGGGACATTCTTGAGAAGGGAACTGACGTGGGGACCACGTGCCCACTGTTGACATGCCTGCTGTATGATGTGACCATTTTCTAAGCTCTTGGCTATCAGGACCACGGCTCTTCCAGTCCTGGAATTAATGTACCCAGAAGCCTATTCCATAAGGAAACACTTCAGAAGCCTACCAGCCTTGCTAAGACAGCTTGGACCCAGTACAGTGATCTCCAGGTTCAGGTAGTTCTGGCACTGGTAAGAAATGAGAAGCTGGAGAGGCCTTAGCTCCACCACTATAGCTAGTGCTTCTACCTTCTCATCTGTAAAATGGGGTCAGTGAGTTAGACAAGCTCACCTGAAGTCACCATCAAGCCTTGTGCCCCTGCACACTCCTTTTAGACAGGCACACTCTTCCCCAAGGCAGGAGAACTGTAGATCCACCAGAACAGACTACTGAGAAAAGGTTACAGGCATCCTGTCCCGACAGCAGGCATCTTCCTGGGGATAGCCAGACTGGTGTTGCCTGCTGCCCGGGAAGGAGGGAATGGAAATTCTGAGTGTTTCTGCAGAGCAGCCCGGAAGCTGCCAGTGCTGAACGGAGCTCCTGGAAACGGGCTGATGAGGTGGGGGTGGGGAGTGAGTGCCAGCTTTAGCAATCTCCTTCTGAGCCAAAGCTGAGCAGATCCAAGGGAGCAGCAGAGACTGGAGCCACGGTACTCCCAGCTGGAGAAGCGGCTTCAGGGGAGACACGTGTCCCCATAGATACCACGGATATGGGCTGTCTTCATGTCACAACAAAGAAAACAGAGGAAAGAAATACAGAGCCTGGCACTTGGAAGCTAAGACAAAAAGCACTGTGAATTCCAGGGTAGCCTGGGCTACACATGGAAACATATGGGGTAGCAGGATAAGGACAAGTGCTTACTAAGTTCAATCCCAAACCCGTGGCAGAAGGAAAGAACTGACTAACAGATATTGTCCTCTACCCTCCATGCATGCGCTACACTACACATAAGACTGGTGCACTTACATACACTCAATTTAAACAATTCCTGCAGAGCCATGGCTGTACTAGAACTCATTCTATAGACCGGGCTGGCCTTGAATTCATAGAGATTCACCTGCTTCCTGAGTGGTAGAATTAATTTAAAAAAGAAATAATAAAATAAAAATATAATGAGAAAACAAAAGGAAAACAATTAAAAAGGATCTGGGGTTTCTGGAAGCTGTGCATAGTCCCTGTAACCCCAACACTTGGGAAGCTGAGGCAGGAAGATCACAAATGTGAGGCCAGCCTGGGCTTCAAAGTGAACTTAAGGCCATGGTCTAGGCCATCCTGTCTCAAAAGAACAAACTCCCAGCATTACAGCACTGAGGCTAGCCAGGGCTGTTTACCTGCATCTACTGCACACCCTGATTTACCATCACCTCACTAAATCCTCGAGGGTCCTTAACAGTAGTAGTATTTTTCAGATAGAGGACACTCAGTCTAAGTGTTCTCTCAGGAAAGATCACCCTGGTACGTTACGTACTTGCTCAAAATCATTCTGCTGGGATCTAACCTCAAAGCACAAATTCCTGGGTATCAGGCAGTCTGTGATAGGTGATATGTCAAACTGGCTGCAGATGGACTTCTTTGTGTACTTTCTCTTTAGTATCTCTGTGGAGGCCAGCAGCTCCTCTGAGCCTAATCATTTCTGTATCACTGCCCTTCCCTGTCTATCCTGGATTGCCAGCCAAGGTGAGAACAGAGGCCCTCCACAAATATTTGATGCCTCGAAGGGCCCAACCCACAAGAGCAGAGAAAATCCTGTGACAAAACCTCTCCAGCATCTGCATTGCAGCAAAGGGCCATGGGCCCTGCCCCCACTCACCTGCACTCCAGCATTCAAGAGCTGTAGCATCCCCTGTGAAGGCCCGGAAATAAACACAAAAGGAGCCGTAGGACAGCTAAGTGCCAAGGTAGCAGAGCCGAGTAATGGAGATGCAGATGCCACAGCAGCAAGGAAGGGCAAAGGTCACAGCAATTTGACATGAAGCATCCTAGGGGCCACGGTGGCTCTTGGGTGTGATACTTATTCTTGGAGTCATCAGGGCACACACCTTTGGTCCTGACTGTCAGGTGTTTTCAACAGAGGAGGAGTGGCCCATCCTGTATGTGGGCGGCAACACCCCACAGGCTGTGGTCCCAGGCTGAATAAAAAGGAGAACTGAGCGGAACACCAGCATCAGTCTTTTTCTGTTTCCTGACTTACAGCCACTGGCTCATGCCTTTCCAGCATGACAGAATGTATCCTCTGTCAAACTGGGAGCTGAAATAAACCTTCCTTACCTTCTTCTGTTAGTTACTTTCCCACAGCAGGAGAAAAGAAATAATCCAGTGCATCATAAATAATCTCCCCACCAAGATCAGGCTACAGGTACAGTTCCATACTATGCCATTTATATCAATTTTTTTTTTTTTTTTTTTTTTTTTTGGTTTTGGTTTTGGTTTTTCGAGACAGGGTTTCTCTGTGTAGTTCTGGCTGTCCTGGAACTCACTCTGTAGACCAGGCTGGCCTCAAACTCAAAAATCCGCCTGCCTCCGCCTCCCAAGTGTGGGATTAAAGGTGTGCGCCACCACTGCCCGGCTCAAATATTATTTTAATACCAAAACCACAAAAAAGATGTGGAAACTCCTCTTGGGACCTGTAGGGTCTCTTCTCAAGCCACCCTGGAGTAGGATTTTAGGCTCTCACAGCATGTTTGAAGGGTGTCTGCCTGGGTTCTTGTCTTCCGTCAGCTCCCTGACATATGCCACTATGGGCTCCGCCCTTCATACACAGCAGGGATGAATTAAAATTGCTATCTCAGTCACCCAGGCACACGAGGAATCAACCCGTGAAATTTCATTAAAAACAAACCTGAACAGCCTGTAGGTCTTGGTTGTCAGAGAAATCACTCTGGGTAGATTTCCTGGCTGGACTCTAGGTTGGCTGACTATATGATGGGCCTAGGATACTGGGAGCTGGGGGGAAGCAGCGATTCTACCCTAAGAAGGAAAAAGGGAACACCCTAAAAGAACCAAGCTTTTTTCTCTTGCAGAGAATCTGGGTTCTGTTCCTAGCACCATGCAGTGTGGCTTACACCCACTCTTAACTCTAGTTCCAGGGGATTTGACACCCTCTTCTGATCCCCTCAGGCACAAGGCATGTATATACATGTAGGTAACACGTCATACTCATACATTTTTAAAAGAAAGAAAGAACTATCCTGTCAGCCTCCAAAAGGACTTAGGTAAGGGATATAGCTCAGAGTGCTTGCCTAGCATGCACAAGGCCCTCGGTCTGATCCCTGAACCACGTAAGACTAGCA